TCAAATTACATTTTTTTTTGGGACTAAGGGAGTGAATCACAGCTATGTGTGTTACAAGTTACTTCCTCATGCCCGTGCGTTTCAACAGGAGAAAAAAATAAATATTTATTAGAAACGACAACAAAATCATCCTTGACTCGGAGTTGGCGTGTTCGCGTCCTATCTGATTTCGATAGGAAGAGCGGATCCATGTGTCTGCGTCCTATACGAATTCCTCGTAGATCACGCGTCTCAGTTCAGTTAAAAAATCATGGTCCCAATGCAACGCTAGGGCATATATCTATCAAGAACAAGGTTGTAAACAAAAGAGGGATCATGAGTTCGCAGAATGAAAAAATGGTTTCACACTATTTATAATATTTAGTTATATCCTTGGACGTACCTAGCAATCTGCTTTATTATTGTTTCTCCAGCAAAGTTCCTCCACACATACATAACAAGAGAATTGATCATGGTTTATTTTTCTCATCAAGATGCATGTATCCTAACTACATCGACCCAACGAATACAATGCTGACAATTATACAAACCTAACCACTACCGATAGAAGATTAGTAAGAATCGATATCTAGTCAATCTGCATCTCACGCTCCACCACCATGAGCAGCGGCAGGCCCAACACGAGGAACGTCGTCCCCGCTAGCCACACCGCCTTCCTCATGCTCTATGCTAGCTTGCCGCCACGATGACATGTTGGCCGCCTCAGATTTTTTTACTGGAAAAAGAGAACACAACAAAAACGAAATAAAAAAAGTCCATGCTTGAGTTTGTCTACCGGATATGTGCAGGAGTGTACCAAAAAAGAACAAAAAAATGGAAATCTCGGATGATCATGAGTTTTTTGGAAAAAAAAATAACGAACTGGATTTTGCCTCACGGATCCGTAGGTACGGGGGTTGTAGGGGATAAAAGAACACAAAAAAAGGAAATAAAAAAACGTCGGTTGGAGTTTTACTGGAAAAGGAGAACACAACAAAAACCTAATTTTGTCTACCGGATCCGTGCAGGAGTGTACCGAAAACGAATAAAAAAAGAAATAAAAACGTTTGTGGCTCTTATCTTGGTTTAGGAGTCTTGAGATTTTTTTTTGTGAGCAAGGGAATCTTGAGATTACGGGAGAGATTATGGGGATTACGCGGTCCGGAGGAATCTTGGTTTAGGAGGAGTCTTACATCTTACATGTAAGATCACGAAAGACGGAGTGCTCATATAGCATGACGTCTAGATCGAACGTTTATTATAGAAGAAGAGCCCCCTCCATAAAAAACTTGCTCTTTTATAGTGTGATGATGATGATGATGATATTGACAATTATTGATATATTATATAAAATTATGTAAAAGATCCACAATGCAGGGTGCCAAGGTTGATGCTACTAGATTCATTGTTTTTTAGAAAGGAGCTACTAGATTCATTGGTTAAAAACACTTTCATAATATATATAACTCTTTCTATTTAGGTAGTGTATTTTTATAGATACGGGTAGCCGAAATATCATATTGGAAACCGTGATTTTAGAGATATGGCTAGCCAAAGTAATTCTTTATACTGGATTGTTGACTTCTCAGAAGATTTTTTTTTCTTCCTTTTTCTCATGAGGGAATATATTCATGCATCTCTGCAACTTCATGGCTGCATCAACAGTTGTATGGTGACATACTTCATGGCTGCTATGTGATCATGCTAAAAAGGTTTGGTTGCAGGTATACATCCACAGTGATAACTCTGTGAACCTGCAAGGGATTTAGTCTCTAAACTGTGATCAACAGGTCCGAGTGTCCAAATTTCAGGAAATGCCGAGAGACTAGGGACAGCAGAGACGAAAAAGGGTAGAGCGACAGCAACTCGTCAAAACGTTTCAGTTTCAGGCAACAGCCAATAATACAGCAGCAGTGAATTGAAGGCAACCTGCAACTACTGGACTGCTCTGAATAACCAAATAGAACAACTCCCACATCACAAATAGGAAACCCTGCCAGATCAGTTACTGTGCCTTTTTCCTGGCAGGGATTGTCCTAACCAAATCCACTGAAAAAATGCGACGACTCGACGCAAGATCAATGGGTCCTGTGTTCCTGTACCTTTGTTGGAGCTTTTCTGAATTAGCTAGCAGCATCTATCATACACAGTCCTGCTCTGCTGCTGTCACCAGTTGCTTTCTCAGCTCGCTTTGCTTGCTGCTGCTGCGGCTTCCTCTCCTTTTGCCTGTCACTGTAGTGCGATGAGAGCCATCGAAAATGCAAGTGGATCATTGCCATGCAGCATGTTCATGTTGGCCGGCCCTTGGAAGTCATTGGAAGACAGACACCAAAAGAGCTGAAGCAAATATGAAAAGGTGTACGTGAACGTGGGTGCCATTCCAGCTTCTTGACCTCCTGCACACAACCAAAGAAAAAAAAAAGAGTCTGGAGTGCAGAAATGGGCAACCAACCAACCATATATGCATTCTCTGATGAGAGTCAAGACTTGTCGCAGCCGTTGGCTCTGGCTCGCTCGTAGATGAATAGATCTCATCTCAGCATCCCTGACCAACAGGCGGCAGCATCTCTAATGGAACGACTTTTCGATGAAAAGACGCATGCGCGCGAAGATAGCTATTCCCTATCGATCGATCTACACCAGATGATCAGACTTTCGGCGATAAATGGGACGCATCGACAGCAAAAGCTCAGATGTCTTGGTACGTAGCATGGATGGAATTGAGTGTAGGATGTATATATTCTTGGGGTCTATGTTTCTTTTCAAACTGCTTTGCATTTTGCTGTGGTACTCGGTACTCCTAAAGTCCTAAACAACTGGGTCGTTCATTTAATTAGATCGGATCCTCTTAACGGAAAACTTGCCAAGGCACGTTCGCGAAAGAATTTAATTAGATTGGATGGTTATGATCGGGACGTTTGGTAGAGCTTCAACAATCCAAGAATTGAAGCTAGAAAAGCCAGAGCTGAAATTCCTTAGGAAGCCCTACCAAAGAGGACATATATAAAGTAAAGAAAGATAAGGCAACCACGACATGGAACTTGAATTATTGTTATTATGGGGTATATATCCTGATAGAAATGCATGGATCTCTCTCACTCGCCAATGCAAGTTGTACTGAACGTGTTGTTGCGTGTGTGGAGAAAAAAACGAAGGGGCTTGTGGCGGGCACGAGTCTTCCACGATCACACAATTAGCCTGTTCGCTGGTTGATTTCTGGGCTGATAAGTCCGGCTGGTGCTGGTTTGTTATGAGAGAAAAACACTGTTGGCTAGCTGATAAGTCCTGGCTGAAACCAACAAGCGAATAAGCTGAATGACAGAACCTACAGGATAGGGACGCATATATATGCAGTGGAATTCAGAGCAGAACATTATATATATTGTTTTTGTTTGGCTTCTCAGCTCTCCTGAAGCTAAGCTAGAGATGGAGAATTTTTCGTCGATCCGTCGTGTGGTTGTGCAAGGTCTCAAAATGCATGCGTGCCGGAATCGGTTCCTCGAAAATGACCTGCATTGCCTAGCATGCGAGAATATAATATATGTTTCAGGGGGAAGGTTATTCTGAATGCCAGAACCAGTAATGTCTGTGGTGCTCATCAACATATACAGCAGACAGCAGTGGTGCCGATTGTTTCTGTCACCATCTCTTTCTTTCTTTTCTTTTGGTTTTTTTTTACCTAGACCTCATCATTGGTATCAAGCCATTCTCATGGATGAGTGCTAGTTTATTTGTCCTAGCCATGACTGTCAGGCCAATGTTCAGTCTCAAGTCCTGATAGGTTTCTCCACTGCACGCAAAGATGATGAGATTCCCATGACTGAACATTAGCACCGCATTAGATAACTAATAATGAAGTTTTTGTCATTTCTCAAGACGATACGTTGGCCCAGGATTGAGCTAGTATAGTAGATATGCCTTGGCAAGATGCATGATGTATCATGTATGTTGTCTTTGTGCTACCTACTGTTGTTGTCCCAAAAAAGATGGGGGCCATATTATCAGAAATGATTTGAGCAATAAAGACACAGCACATTATCTAAACAAAAAAAAAGGACATGCTATCTATATGGCTTACATCATCCATTCCAATCAAAGTCACATGGCACAACAGTCAAATAACTATTTGTAGTTGATAGGGACCATACAATACTTTGGCTTCTAACCAAACAGCAGCAATAGTAGCAGCACACACACACAAGGCAAGATATATATCACAAAAAGTCCAGTACACAATGGCTTCAAGGAAACAAAGTCCTGCCCATCTACAAAGTAATTAAGTGGTTCATTAGTCAGATAATAACAAAGTAGGCAGTGCTTCCAAGTTTCTCTGAGGCCAACCATACGAATAAGATGCCACTGAAATCAGTCGAGGTCAAAAGAACAGAATAACTTTTAAGAAGAATAACTCTTCGCATTTTGCAAAGCTAATCTCGAGTTCTTTTATGCGGTGTCGTGGGAAAGACTTTGCAAGCAGCCTATCAGAGTAATCTAAATATGCACTGGAACATTATCTAGTCACCAAAGCTTCAGCATCAGATGAAGTAAATATTTACCAAATCAGATTCTCCACTTTTCCTTCTGCACACAGTTCAAAACTTCTAGTTCTACAGCACAGTCCGAAGCTTCTGATTAGGGACAATTTTGGAAAATTGGAAGGCACCTACTTGCCCCTATTCCACTTGACAGCTAATAGACTTTGTCAGGTTCATGAAATTGATCGGGGAAAAAGTACAAATAAAGGTAGCCTTCATGTTCCACAGAGGTCAAATTGAGTAGCCAATACAAACACGGTCCCCTAGAACAGTATTACCCCCGAGCATGTTCAGGACAGCTCACTACAATATACAACACCAACAACAAAGCTGTAGTGCTGAGCTCTTCTTTACACATGTAACCTTTGCTTCACGAGCGAACCATGGCCGGCTCTCCAAGCTCTGGCCCTTCTTTCTGTCAGCATGGGGAGCCCCTCCATTTCTTCTGTGCTGGGATTGGATGATATGTGGCCAGACGTTTGCGACTTATGACTGTCCACACTTCCTTAGGCACGCTACACCTTCTTCCTGGTACTCCTGCCTGGTTATCCAGAACTCAGGTGCATCCTGCATGTTCCAAACAATACGCAGGGAAGTATATTACTAGCAATCCATCATGGTGTAATATGATTCTGCATGAGAGCGCATATACAAGAATTACCTTCATGATTCCAGCAAGCACTGCACCTCCCAGGTACACCATGTGCTTTCTCCGAGGAGGATCCTCTATCCGCAGTCGTAATTTCTATGCACAATGAGAGGCAATGTGTCACAGTTGGAAACAGAGAGCAAATGCTAATACTGAGATGAATGCATATCCTTTCAGAAAGTGTATTTGGATTGTTCTGTCTATGAGTTCAATAAGTTTATGCACTTATATCTTCTATTTGTAAGAAAGGAAAAGCGCAGATTATTATCTAACAGAAATTTGTTGTAAAGGTCAACAGAGAAGAATAACAACTGTGGACCAACGATTACAACAATGCAAGGTAGAACTTCAACAATCTTACAACTCAGCTAGCGATCAACAATTTCCTTCATGCCATAAAAATATAATGCATGTATATTACCTTCAGGCCATCTTTGTTTCCCTTCAAAACTACATCAAGATAGCGATCAAGAATTTCCTTCTCCAACCTTGTAAAAAAGTAGTAACTTGTTAAGCATATGCAACTCGGGTAGAAGCTTATATGAACCAGGAAAATAATCACTATAAGAAACATTACATGCAATTATCATAACAATATCCATATGCGCTTACATGACAACTACCAAGAAGGCTATCAAAATAAAAACAATCAGTATGCATAATGTTGTTTCACTCATTATTTTTCCGTGCTGGCAGTAAACTAAAAAACATAAATGAAGACGAGAATATCCTCATGACTACAGACTTCAAAAGGAATTATAAGTCTTACCGACTTGGTAGACCAGGGTACATTGTACTTCCTCCACTCAGGACAATATGTTGATAGAGCTGTGAAACATGATCATATATTACAATAAGAAAAAAAGAAGACATGATGAACCTATTAAAAAACTATACAATGTAAAGCATAGGAAATCTAATCTAATGTAGTTGATATTTCAATATAGTTCCAGACTCTTTATTGAATCTAACTTAAGTCCAGAACATCAACATCAAATAAATTTAAATAAATTCAATATTCTAAATAAGAAGGGCAGGCCTGGTGCAGTGGTGAGAGCTGTCTCACTGAGTCACCAGATCGTGGGTTCGAAGCAGCCTCTCCGCAGATTTTGCGGGGGGAAGGCTTGCCTCGGTTTTTCCCTTCCCCAGACCCCACTCATGTGGGAGCCTCCGGCGCTGGGTCTCCCCCTCCTTTTCAATATTCTAAATAAACTTAAGCACTATACTGTTTATATACAACCATGGTCAGGCAGAAAATTAGAATCCACTAGTGTCCTAAATCATAAGAACTAAATTAGTAAAATATTAACTCATCGTTCCTTCTAATCCATGTTTCATTTGAACAATTGGAAGGCTGAACCAGCAATGTACTGTACTGGTAAGATATGTATACCATCATCCGGTTGTCAATATCCATTTCCTGAATGCAACGGAATGCCATATCTGCCATCCCATCACCTTCAACATCTATCAGTTCCTGTTAAATAAATATTTGGTGAATACTAGCTTATTGCTGAGTTTGTCGACACAATTGCATACTGAGATCAATAATACTAAACAGGAACAGAAATGGAATAGTCTTACAGGAGTGAAAAGAGCTTCAGGAGCTTGAAATCGTTCAGTGCCCACTTTAATAACTCGTCCATCTGGAAGCTGATCACAAGAACTGAGCTTACAATAAGAAAAGGAACAGGGAAAATTACAAGCAGGGCAACATACTTACAGTGTAACTTTTCACAAGGATTGTGGTCTCAAGTCCTAGCTGGTATTCTCGTTTGTAATCATAGCTGTACATAATTTAACATGACTACATATATAACATAGAGACAATAATTAAGAACAATAAGACAACTTACCTTATATAGCATAGCTTCTCTTTTATTTCTCTGACCGTCTCAAAGTCAGCAGATTTGTTCATAGCATACCTTTTAAAGTGGGAGAACTAACTGAATTAGAAAAATCATGTAGCAGCAGCTGCAGAAGGCAACATCTTCAGAGCAAGATAGGTCTTACCCTCTCCTTGATAGTAGGTCAACAAGATAAGATGTTATATGCCTTCCAGCTACATTCATTCTCTTTGTCAGATGTGGATAAGAGTATCCATCAACTACAGGCACCTGAATGCATGAAAAAGATGATAGGTGCAAAATTAAGATTGAAAGTGGAAATAATTTAGTTAAAAATAAAAGCTTCACAATCACATCACAGTATTGTTAAATGAGTCACATGTAAGCACAGGGATAAAGACAATTGCTCATTGGTCCAAACTTAATATCCTAAATGGAAACAGGTTTTGTAACATGAGCGAAATCACATAGTTGTAGAAAAAAATGAAAAGCAAATAGCATAAAGAATATAAAAAAGGCAGGCTGAAAAGAGCATCTGAGCACAGAGGGCTGAAACATCGTTGTAAAACCAGATGATACACAAGTACATAGTTGTTATATCTTTTTACTACTATTCATATGTTATTGATTTCTATTTTTTATAAATTTATAGTTGCCTAATTCTTAAACACTTTCATACAACATACTGAATTCATTGACTGACATACTTATTAAAATGCCATCTTATGGTGTTCTGGGCTTAATATGTTGCTGATACCATGATATTTGAGTTGGTTGCACAAAGATGATTAGAAATCGAATGTACCCCTTCAAACCATAATACTTGGTCGGATATAGGGAAGAACATTATTCTCATACCACATGAGTAACACCGTCACCAGAATCTATCACAAGTCCAGTTAGCAAGCCTGAAACGAATACATACATGTAAAGTGGAGTGTTAATGTGATCTTGTATGTGCTTGTGTGAATGCCCAGAGCCCCAGACAGGAGCACATGGTCAGGAGGGAGAGATGACCTTGAGCGTACAGTGAAAGAACTGCTTGGATCTGGATGAAGACCCCAGCAAAGTTATATTTCTCGAACATGGTCTCGATCTGTTCATGGGATTCAATTTGTTAGGCATTGATGTCAGAAACTACAGCTGTGGCAGTATGTGACAAATTGATAAAAGGAAATGACATACCATTTTTTCTCGGTTTTTCATGGGATTGAGTGGTGGATCTGTAAGTAGGATTTTACACTCCGATGGATCGACCTAAATGAAGAAAATAGAACGGTGGCGCTTTAACTAGAGCTAGTCAACTTAGGAAATATAATTAAGGATATCAGGGGGAAATACTTTCCAGAGAAAGGGTAAGGCATTACAAGCAGGGTTAAGCATACCAGTATAGTTATACCTTGAGCTCACTGTAGAAGGCATTATCCCAAATATGGCCCATATCATCCCAATTTTGAACAATGCCATTGGTGACAGGATATGATACATCAAGTTGATGTCTCAAGTCAGCACAAGCTGCTCCAACAACAATATCCTGCAACGAACATAAGCGCCTATCATAAGATGTACTCATGAACATGAAGTAAGTTCCAGAAAGATGGTAAGAAAATAGATAAGGACCGTCAATTCTTGTTCCTGAAGTGACTCCTCATAGCGAAGTAGAGGTCTTCCGACAACACAAGGGAATACAGATGTAGGAAAGTTCTCACCAGCAAAGCCACACTTCACATACTGCAACCAAAAGGTGTCAAATTAGAGAAAGGAATGATCCGCTTTGTAATCTAGCTCATTGTCATTTAATCATTATTTGTCAGAGACTCAACAAGCCTCACATCTGTTCGTATGATGTATTTAGTACTGGCAAAAACTGAGAACAGATTGAGCTCACCAGATTTTCATCAAGATGTCACGTGTACACGGAATTTAGCTTGTACTAAAAATCTCAGGCTGAATCGACATTTCTTCTGTGCATCAATATATCTAGTAATTACATGGTTCTACAGACCTATAGGCCTGACATGCATGAAACAATTTATGCTTTCCACTGACCAAAAATGAAGGGGGGAAAAAGAAACTTAACCCAAACACACTGTCAACACAAGAACTAGAGATTTCACCAGCAATTTTGAATATAATTTGCAGGTAAACCTAAGCTTTGCCTTGTGAACAATGTCACAACAACTGAGCATGCCATTATTTGTGAATAACAATTCCCGTTTGCGGCAGCAACTGTCGTTTCAACCTAATCCAACGCCCCTGAGCTACCTAACTGCGGCGACCGATGCCCCAACAAACAGCCGTGTCTCGCTTTTTTCAGTCCTCCATGGCTCCCAGCCTCCGTCCAGCCGTGCTAGGCACGAGCGTCACCCGAATCCTCCGGTCCCGCACGGCCCGGCCACCGGTGATCGACTCAGGAACCGGCTTCCCCCCCAGTCAGTGGTCGAAGCAGCGGCGGATTGCGTCTGGGGCAGTACGCGAGAAACTCGGCCGTGATCCGGAGCATGAACGGGCGGCGGATCTAGGAATGGAGCGGAGACGGGGTGGGTCAGGGAGGTGACGGCTTACCCCGGTACCATTGTCGCACACCACTACGTTCCTGCTCTCCATTCGCGCTTCCCTCCCTTCTTCGGGGCGGTCCTCCTCCTCCTCCCCTCCGGGTACTTGTGGTGATCTCCCTGTTTCTCTGCGCTTCCAAGCTACGGTACGAGAGGAGGGGGAGAAGACGAACGAGACTGCGGGACGGACCGCAACAACTCTCACCGTCGGATTGAAGCACGGACGGTCCCTGATCAGTGTTGCTTTTAGTCGCTGTGATATGTCAGTGCTTCTCTTGTGTGTTCCTCTCTCTAAAAAAAAGTTGCTTCTCTAGTCTTAAATCTTTGTCTGGTTGCAATCCAAAAAAAAAACTTCGTCTGGTTACAAAATATTATCAAGTAATTGCTTTTGTGAACTCTTGTGAATCGGCCCGTTCGGCTTACTAAAACTTGGCTAAAAAATACTGACTAAAATGTTGTGAGAGAAAAATACTGTTTCAGCTGAAAAAAAGAAGCCGAAGGTAAGCCGAACACTGATCAGGCTTACCAAGATCATATATATGTTATACATTTATTTCTCTCTTAATAATCATGATGTTTAGGAGTCCTTTTTTTTACTCTCTAGTCTCTTCTCCATTAACCTTTTCCCTTCCTCCAGATGTTTGATGCCCTCTTCTAATTGGTGGAACTGGTTATGAGGAAATCAACAGCCCGTTCGTTCGCTGCTGTGAACTGTGAAGCTAGGATCATCCAGATAGAAAAAGGAGAGCAAGAAGGGCAGTAGGCAACCAAGTTGGGAAATCATGAACATTTCCCATGCTGATGATGGAATTGATTAATTGAATCTGAGCACCTGCTGTTGCTATGGCCGGCAGAAGCAGCACCACAGAACACGTAGCTTTGTTCAATAATTGTTCTCTAGGAGTATTTACCTCCCTCAAAAAAGTTGTTCTGTTTTTTGAAGTCAACACAAATTATTGGCCTCTGCCTTCATGTCAGCATCAAGAGTGCATGGGAAATTCAGATTCAGAAACTGAAATATAGACTTTAATCATGCTCCTTATGACTGAGGATCAAGTCAGGGTAAAATAAACCTTGTCAGAGTTAAACTAATCCTTGGAAATGAACCCATTTATTACTGTGGTGCCTCTGCCTTCTGGTCTTACATTTGTACATTCCTAGCTCAATGGTATACAACAGAGATAACATTACATATTAACGCTTCGGGAGAACTACCAAAATATCAAAGATAATACATCAAATGATGTGTACAAGTATGACTCCCGACATAGAGTTTACTTTTAGAAGAGCATAATAGTGATGTTGACTCGAAACTTTCCTGATCTCAGCACTGAAGAAAGATTCATGTGGCGCCACCACCAAAAGATGATTTTAAACCAATCAGCACTATTGCATACTCTTTTTGGACTTGCTAGAAATAAACCGAGCAAATGCCAACCATATCAACTTGATCTGCAAAATAACATGACATCAGATTCCTCAACTAACCACAAATGCCTAACTGATACATCAAATTATGCAACCGAAGCACTCAATACAATGTTATTTCAACCTAGAATTCAATAACTCAGAATGCCCAAATCAATAACAGCATGCTGCAGAAAGGCAAACATGCACTTTACACACTATTTAATATTTACCCCAAAAAAAATATTTCATACATGTTAATCCAAACTCAAAAGGCAATAAACTCATCCAGACATAGTTGCAGGCTCAAAACAAAATCGACCCCTAGGGGAAAGCCTCCCCCAAGGCATTGATGGAACGATAGAAACTTCTCTCCCGCAGAGTCGAGAAAAGGCCACGAACCCAGATATCCAGGACGTGCAACTGACGACGAGGACGTACCTACGGCCGCGTATCATGCTGCAACCATCAGTGGATCATGTATTTCAATGGAAAATAGCATAGCGAGTGGCCCTTTTTTGAGAATGGGAAATCAAACTCCTGACCTGTAGGTTGCACTTCAGCATCCCTACCACTATGCTATACACGTTCTCATTTGCAGGCTTAAAGCCACCCGAAAAGTGCCATATGTCTATATTAACAAAAAAAAGCACTTAAGTTCCTTACCAAACTAGAAATCTTGGTGAAGTTTAAGGTCAAAGCTTTACTATCTAGTACAGCTTCTGAAGGTGACTGGGATGTCTCAACATTGGCTTCCATAACCTTGTTGCCCCCACAATCATTTGCACAATACTTCTGTAGCCACCTGTCAGTCTCCCAGATTATATGCATAATGCTCTCTCTTGCAGCATATTGGTGCTGCTCACATGGGAGAATCACAAGACGGCATGGCACCCCATGACCCTTCAAGGCATCGTAAAACTGACTTGACTGCAAACATATACAAAGATTATAGTTCTAGAATAGCGACCAAACCCATAGAAAAAAAATGAAACGTTCAGTACTCAAATATCCCATAAGCTATTGTTGCTACCTGCATTGCTGTTGTTACTTTGCTGTCATCTTCTCCATGAATCAATAGGATCGGCTTCTTGATTTTGTTAGCTGACATGAAGGGACTGATCTTAATATAGGTATCGGTGGCCTCCCATAGCGTCCTCATCTCTTTCTTCAAGCCAAAAATAGAGACAGGTCAAAAGGGAACGAAAACATGTTCGTCTTAGATAAAGGATGCATTATGCAGCAAGGCCGTGCACCTGAAAACCAAACGGAGTCAGTGTCCTGTTGTAAGCTCCAGAGCGAGCAATTCCACAACAGAAAAGATGAGGAGCATGTGCTAAGAGGTTAGCAGTCATAAATGCACCATATGAATCACCACCCACGGCGATTTTGTCAGGGTGAGCAACCTGAAGAACAACATCAATTATATGACTTTAACTTTTGTGAGCAGCATGGAGCATACTATCATAAATTCTTGATGAACCGCTATAGACATACAGTAATACTTCTACTGCATTGAATCACTGTACACAATCCCTAAACATACAGGATAACCTAAAGGAGGCCACTGAAGTAAGTAACTAATCATCAAGCATAGTAGGTCAGAAACTATTTGCATAAAAATAAAGCAGTAAGAAAAACTTACCCCTCTTCTTACAACTTCATTTACTGCTGCTTCTGCACTAGCAACTAGCTGCTCTATGTACCTAGGAAAAGCAAACAAATCTATCAAAATAGTTTAAGTAATAGCGTTATATCTACTACTTTCATGCTTTGCTAGAAAAAAACAAAGGTAAGTGTCAACATGATGAACATGTGACTAGTGGGTATTTGACAGTAACTCATTCTACAAAACTGAAACTTCAGATGTTAAAAGTACAGACCAGCATAATCATATTACTATTTTATCTTAACAAGTATAAAACTACCTGTCATTCGGTTCTTGGTTTTCTTCACCAATTATAGGGATTGTTGGGTTAGCAAGAATAGCAAACCTGTAGGATGCACCAATTATAAGACTATAAGGTAAATAAATAGGTGTTGCAAAGAAAAAAGGTTGCACAAATAAATGAATTAAGATCAAGGAAGGCACACTGTACCCTCTAGCTAACCAAAGAAGAGGAAAGTTGTTGCTGATGCGTGCAAATTTATTGGGTGAGCGGCGAACTTGCCCAGCAGCCTCTCTGCTTTTAAATTCTCCAGGATAAGACCAAATGAGGCATGGGAGTGGACCATCTATTGATGGATTATAGCCTGGAGGCAGATACAATGTAGCGGTAAGTTTAACACCATCCTCCCGGTGGTATCTTATTATTTGTTTCTGCAATAGTGCCAGTTGGGGATATGGATGAGGGTAATTTGTAATCTGGACTTGCTTCTTGTTTGACCAAATCTTGAGATAATATTGGGTGGTCTCTCTCCTTGACTCCTTAGATACAAGTAACTTTAGTTGATCAAGATGCACCTCACATTTAGGATGGTAAAACATAAGTGCAAGAATAGATTCGTAGTACTTTTCTTTGTCACTCTCCCATAACCGCTCTTTTTCTCCTGTATCTCTGTAAGGATAAAGCCATGGGCCATGTTATGTTAACGATCTAAAAGAAACATCAAATAGTACATGAGAAGTGCAGCATAAATGCTTGATAGAGATAAACATTAGTTAACGTACACATTGAAAATATCAAGAAATGGGGTGCTTCCTCTTGGTGTGGCACCCTGTCCTTTCAGTAAGATGTAGCTTCCTTCACAGTTCCTCTTAATTTTTGCAATGACAAGGGTGCCTGCAGGAGTTCTGCACATCACTGGAGAACCTGGATTTGAGTAGGCATCTTCTGAAGATCTTTCAAATAATAGCCGTGGTATGAGATTTTCTTTGTCAGGGGATATAACCCATGTTCTTGTTCTGCGTGTCTTGTACCAATATTCATAGACCAGAGCAAATGATCCATAGCACCAGTAGCTCTTTCTGAAGATTTGACAACCACAACAATAGTTATATCAGTTGCCAAAAAAACGAACCTTGGAGGAACTAGGTGGCATTGTGAATAAGAAGAAATAGGCACCCAAATTCGAGTTAAAGAGGACTCAGAAGAAATATACCACCTACACCTCCCACAAGCTGAGCTAGCCTTATGAAGAGCTCAAGAAAGTGCATCTATGTTTTCTACAACAACCCAAGCAACTAGCCTATGGTATTAATATTCCACAGCTTACATGTTTCTAGTTAAATTAGATTTTTCTGCAAGATCTTATAAGCTAAGTAAAATCAATGGTGTCATGTCAACATTACGAAACTGTGAAGAGAAAGGGTTACCCTGGTGGTAGCATGTACCTATATCGAAGGTCAAGTTTAAGTAAGACTTGGGGCTTCTCGCCGTTTAAAGGTTCGGCAAGTTCCATGTAAACTATATCACGTGGTGATACTTCAATATTTGAGTCTCCTCCATCTTGTGCGTCCACCCTTCAAACATATGAAATGTGAATTCTGGAAAATAACACTGGTTCTGGATAAGAAAAATCAAGTATGAATGGTAGTATGGTATTAACTAAGGCCTACTGGTAATATTGAACATAGTTGGAAAAATGATTATAAAGAAACTAATATCATGTTTAGGGTCAAAAATCATATGTAACTTGATTCATAAGCAGCTAACTCTATCATCTCAAGAGTGGAACAAAGCATGGTTCACCTTTGCACAATCACCATGAAAGTAAAATGACTCAAGTCGAATGCATTTGTGTTATGAGTACCACATGATCGACTTTGCCTAGTTTTGTTCATCATGATTTGAAGTAGAATCATTCTTTTTTTTATCTGAAGCTACATTAGTAATTGAAAGGCTAAGCTTACCAATATAATGTAGAAGGCATATCAGGCCTCCACCTGATTGAACGCTTTCCCTTACGGACACTATTAGCCGCAACAGGAATATCTTCAGCAAGGGGCAAATCACAAATTTCGCGGACAAATCTACCATCAATTGTCCACAACTCAACCTTTTTCGGGAACCTTTTATATGAAACTATAGAAGAATATGGTTGGTGCACAGAAGTGAGCATCAAATATTTCTCATCTGGTGAAGGATCAAGAGAAGTGTATATAGCAGGAAGGGCAATCGGTTTCATTGTCCCATCCAACAAAACCAGAACTAACTGAGAAGTTGCATAGTAATCAAACAATTCTTCTTCATGCAAATCTTTCAGCATTTCTTTTGTGGATCTCATTTGAATGATGTTTCTCTGCTCATTAGAACGAATCCTTGGACCGAAAGGAACCAGTGGCTTCATAGGTGGATCTCCAAGCGATGGAGGAATAGTAGAAACCAAGAGAGTAGAATCATTCACCCATACATAGCTGTAAAGCATCAGAAGATGAATGATGATTTGTGACAAAAATACAGAAGGATGGTCCACCTGGAAAGTTATTGGCACTCACAGCTCAAAAATTGCATTTAATATTATGTAGGTTGATTTGAAAAGTGGTCGAGCTTTTCCATTTTCTGCATCAGCAATCCACAATGCTAAATTGCTGCCACTATCCACCTACTCAGAATCTCAGATGTGTCATGCCAATATGCCATCAAGTACAAAACAGAATCATCAACCAATTAATCACTAAAAATAGTTCTTGCTTCATCATACTCTAAAGCATCAACTTATCACCTCATCATCATAGTGCACAGTGAATGCCACATGCTGACCATCTGGTGACCTGGAATTCAGGATAGAGAAGAAGGACATTTTTATTTAAACCATACATGATTAGGGGAAAAAAAAGAACAGCATGTCTTAATTTGTTATCATACTAAAAGAAAGGACCATTGAAGAATAATGGGAAAATTACCATCCTACAAAATTAATCTTTGCATTCTCGTTGTATCCATTCACTACTTTCTCTGGACCCAAAGATCCATCATCCATCAGCAAATGGATACTGATCCCAGTATAAAAGGACCTAAAGAGAACAGCAGCAAATGAACTGCAGGAAAATTACAAGCACATATTCTCATAAATAAAATTATACAAATCCATTACTTACATTCGACTCCTTGTGTTAGAACTTGGATCAATCCATATACCAGCAAGTATTTTATCAGGTTTAGCAAGCTCTGACAATGAAGGCATAACTCTACGTTTTAGAAACATGATCCTATCTCGGCGAGGGGAAATATAATAACTGGGATTCGGTGGCACATCAACAATCTCTTGGATTTCCTTTGGAGGGAGACGATATCCTTGACCTGTGTATAAACACATCATGTTAAAGCTAGAAAGCAATTCCGCAGAATATGCCTTTGAATTAACATGCCTTCGTCTGAATTTCTTAACTCCCTTGGAAAGAAGTTGAGAGGATAGACAAAACCAAACTAACAAAACCAGTTCATCTTGAACCAGAGACAGAACTTTGACAAAATTGACTACTTCCGTTGCCAGCATCCCAGCACTATAACCCACTCAAAGTCACTGACGGGAACTGATTGAACTGAATCTTAGCCAAACCAGCAGGTAAGGTGACCTTTTCAGCATTTGAATCGGATAAACAAAATCCCCCAAATCACGACCAGACAATACGTCGCCAGAATTACAAGTCTTTCTCAGACAAGGCATTGGTAATGATTAATTAAAGCTTGGGTCTCTTTCCACAACAAGCACAAACTCACCTCCATCGTCTTCCTCCAGAGCAGGGCTGCAATGGGTACCAGTGGAGCACTCCGCCGCGAGGCCGATGCGCCTGGCATGGCTCCGGCGAGGCAAGAGGCTCAGAAACCTATGGGATGGAGCCGACGAAGATGGTCCAGCGATGGGATTGGCACGGGAGAAGCACACACGCTGGTCAAATCTCTGAAGCAGCATGACAAATAAGCGGGGGGTTTTCGAGACTGAAACTGCTAGTAGGTGTTCAGTATTCGTGTTCTTCCTTCTAGATATATCGACGTTGTCACTGCCACGCAAGAAAATAGAAAACCCAAACAATTCCTTTGAATTGGAAAAACCAAATGACACGCATTTGATAATTTTTCCAATTTTCCATACTCAAACGATATATGGTCAAATAAAACTTTGATTATAATAACTAAAAAATATATTTTATAAAATAAAAGTCACATATTGATTGCTTGAAATTAGGATGCGGCCAGTTTGTTTGCGAACCCATAAATAGATTTAATTTTTGTGAATTGAATCCAAATAACACGAGATAAAGCAGCAACGCATAGATAGTTTTTTTAAAATAATTTGCATTATTTTTGTAATTTAAACTAGGAATAATAAATTTTTAGAGATTACTGTAAACTGCAACTTTTTTACTTTTAGAAAACAGAAAAAGGCACCTTTAAAAACTAGCCGGTTAACCAAGTTTGATCCATTTTTGTGTAAGTTGGAGGTTAAAAGTGGACTTTACCTATATATATTTCGTAGAGAATTAATGAAACGATCTTGGTATTATAGATGCTAATGCATTTTATATAAATTGATGAAAAATAAAGAAGTTAGACTCAGTAAAAGGTAAAGTAAATTATAATTTAAAATGACGAAGCACAAAACAATGGTCAAAACCGATTTTGAAAGGCGACACAGATAAAATAAAGTCTGATAATTTCCATAGGGAATAATGTATATTTATTACCATTTCATTATTTGGTTGATTCCGCTACCTTTTATTAATTTATATCTATATTACTTGGTTGATTCCACTATCTTTTATTATTTTATATCTATAGGTATTGTTATTGGAGCCATGACTTTTGATTGAGGAGTTATAAAAGACATGTTTGATAGCACTCAAGTTATTTCTATACCTAAATTCTTCTATGAAACTAGAACCAGTTAGAAAAATTACTGGATTATCGATCCAGATCCTCGTATAGCCAACTGTAAAGGGTAAGAAATGCCTATCTATGTGTTTTTGACCCTAATTTATAAAAATTAATGTTTAAGCTGTGATTTAATTGATACTAAAATAATTCTAACATAATACAAAAATGACATTATTGTTTCTTTTTAAGTATAGAAAACATTGAAAGGTTAAAACTTTCGAATGTTTAAATTTAGATCTAACTTTATGAATATTTATTTCGGTGCTAAGTTTTGTAATTGATAATCTCTTTGTTTGAAAGATGCAACTATAGCATTGTACCAAAATAACTAGTTTTACTTTAATCAAATTTATGAAAAAAATATTACTTATGATACCAAGTAAGTGTCAATGAAATTCATCTTGAAATATTTCTCATGATATATTTATTTGGTGTCACAAAAAATTTATACTTTAAGCTCGGTCAAATTTTGGATATTTTGACTGAGGATAGATTCTAAACTATAGTTCTATGACGAAAGTTATAGTTAGGTCACTTTTGCTTTATATATAGAATGACTGCTGAAAGAGATGGATAAGGAGCGCCTAATGAAGATAAGGACGACATCATTTGGATGAAGACTTTCAAGCCTAGTGTATTTATATATTTTATAGCTTCATACGTCTATGAGATTTAATGCTACAATAAGTCTATTGTTTTGTGGTTTACATTTTAAACTGGTAACCCTACTTCTGTATCGGTGACGTTGCTTTCTTAAAAGCAGAGGTAAAGCTCTTTCTTTAAAAAAAAAATTACGGGACCCTAACTTTTCAGAACAAATTAGAAGGGGTTTTACTAGAAAAAACGCAACACAAAATAGAAATGACATTTATTTCTTTCAAGAAAATACGTGCGTTTGTGTGTGTAAGTATACATTTTACTTTTTTTTTGAGAAGAAGTATATATTTTACTGGTAAAGCTAAATTAAATGCCTACTAGGTTTGAGGTCCTTGATGACATTCTCGGTTCTCGCTAGCTTCTGTGGTAGCAAGAACAAAATTAAAAATCGAGGGTTTTAGAAGGGTTTGGTAGGTTCGTTCCCTCGCCTTTCTTCCTTTCTTCCTCTCCAATCCAAACCAAAACACCGCAGGAAAATAAAAAAGCCAAAACAATCCGCGACTTGGAGAACCCTAGAATCAAGCGCGGAACCGCCCTCACCCACCATGCTGCGTGCGGCGGCGGCTGCCGCCGCCATCCTCCCGGCGCGGTTCGCCGCCGCGCCGGCCGTGTCGGCGGCGGAGGAGCTCAGGTCTCCGCTGCTCAGGGTCATTGGGACGCTGAGGGGCGGCCGCGGCTCGGTGCTGCTGGGGAGGAGGGCGCGTTTCTGCTCCAACACCTCCGCGAGCGACTCCGAGGCGGCGGCGGCGGAGGCGAAGGCCGAGGATGCGACCGCTGCGGAGGGGGAGGCGGACAGCAAGGCGTCTTCCGCCATCGTGCCGACCAGCACCAATATCGACGACTGCCTTTCGGTATGTTCGTCTGGATCAGGGTCACTTGCTTTGTTGCTTGCCTCAGCCATTCGTTTTTTTCCCCTTTTTAAGAAACTCAGCCATGCGCTTGGAAATGTGTTGGAAATATGCTATGAGTAGTAGGTTAGTACCAGATTCTGTATTCTGGGTTGAGTCCCGGATTAGCTCAGACACAAATGAACCATTAAATCAGGCGTCAGTAGCGTGCTGGATTCAACACCTTAAAGGTCCGTGCCTCAATATGAGCATGGAGGAACTTTGAATTACAAGTTTATGCTAAAATCTGCAATACAGCATGAATGGATAAATACCAGATTTCCTTTGTTCTGAAGGAAATAGGCTAATTCTTTGCTCCATGTATTTTCTTGTTTGATAGAGCTGTACGGAGAGATCATTAGAGACAACTAGCACTGAGGGCTCTTATTGAGTCTGCCGATGTGGCAGAGGGGATCGGGAAGGTTTTGCTTGCACAATTACGTACAAACAGTATTAATGAGGTATATGATGCAAATTGCATAGAAATGCCTCCAATTTAATGCAAACTAAAATGTCTTCAATCTGGTAGGAAAATGCCTCTGATCTGCTAGGAAAAACATACATCTGTTATGAAATAAACTGCATGCATTTTATTAGGATCCAAGTGTTTATTTTGGGACTGTGATCATATTTTTTTGGTATATATCAGTGGACTATAATTCATTTTTTTCATCTTTAGTGGCTGAAGCTATGTTAGTGCCATCATTATAGGAAAAACGGGTTTGGTAGGGTCATTCTTCCAAAGGGTTATGCTGTGTTGCTTTCCCTTTATAACTCTTCTATTCCAGAAACCACTGTTGTTGTCTCTGCTGAATTCATGACTTCATATTAGCTCGATATTGAACTTCAAAGTGACAGTACAAGAATCTGTTAAGTTGACTGCTGATGTGTGTTTATATCTTAGTGATGTACTGATGTGATACTGCCAGCCATAACCTTCTTGTCCTTGTCATGACCATTGGTCACTCGTTCAAATAGGTTATAGCGTTACCTCTTCCGCATCGGCCACTCTTTCCTGGATTTTACATGCCAATCTATGTAAAGGTATGTTGCTCTATTTGGAGTTTCTGATATGAATTTCACATCTTTTAACACACAACTTCATCATTTCCCTTCAAAATGATGTGCTATTTTTCGTCTTGTTTCAAAATCCCTCAGGACCAAAAGCTGTTGCAAGTCCTAATAGAAAATCGCAAAAGATCAGCTCCGTATGCTGGTGCCTTTCTTGTGAAAGATGAAGAAGGTACTGACCCTAACATTGTGACTGGTTCAGATTCAGAGAAAAGCATTGATGATCTCAAAGGGAAAGACTTGCTGAAGCGTCTTCATGAAGTTGGGACGCTTGTTCAGGTAATTTGACCATTTTCAAAGTACTCCCTTCAAAGATTCTGTTTGCCTAGTCTTTCAAAATGTGCTCTGTAATTAATTTTAGTTATTTCTGTAGATTACAAGCATTCAAGGGGATCAGGTAGTTCTACTTGGTCACCGACGTTTACGGATAACTGAGATGGTGAGATACTTCAGATTGCATGCCATTCAATTGCTGTTAGTACAAGTTGATTTGTTTAATTGTTTCACCAAGATGCCAAAAATTGCAGGTCGAAGAGGATCCACTCACAGTTAAAGTTGACCATCTAAAGGTAGTTATGTTCATCTGTGCTCATAGTTCTATATTTCATACTTTTTTGTGCCATTTGTGGTGAATTACTAGTATTTTGTTTGAACATGATTTCATCATGAATCCAGTGTAGGATTTCTATGTTTTCTTTGCAATGTAATTTGCAATGTCTTATTTAAGTTGCCCTTTTCAGGAAAACCCCTACAACAAGGATGATGATGTTATGAAAGCTACCTCATTCGAAGTTATATCAACTTTAAGGGAAGTTCTAAGGACAAGTTCCCTTTGGAAGGATCATGTGCAAACCTACCAACAGGTCTGACTTTTTAACCTTTTTTTTTCATTTTTACACATCTATTTTTTTTAAATCATTTGCTTGAAGCTTGGAATTGTTTCAGCATGGCTTAACTTCCCAAACTTGCTGCACTCGGTGTTTTGTTTTTTGTACACTGTAGAATGGTCTAATATTAGGCAACGTGTGCATAATATAACATTGCTGTTAGTTCCTGGCCTCCTGGGAATGCATCATAGACAGGGTGCTAAAACTACCAGACTGAACACTTGAATCTGACTATTAGAGGTATACCCTTTGTTGCCTGCCTGTTTCATATAGCCTACCAATATTGCAAAATTGCTAGTAAGGCCGTGACTAGTGTCCGAACAAATGATGGTAACACAGACTACTTCCCGATTGAAATAGGACTCCATCAAGGGTCAGCCTTGAGCCCGTATCTCTTTGCCTTGGTAATGGATGAAGTGAC